TGCTCTTATGCTATGTCTTCAAACACTTTCTGTGCATTTTGTCTGGAGTTACTAATTATCCCTCGGGTTAATGCTCCCTGTTGGCATTAGGGGAAGAATTTTCTTTTCTCCTTTGGTTCATTGACCCCATGCTTAATGATCCCAGGGGTGACTCTGACACCTGCCTCCAGAAGAAGGAAGCATGGGTCTTCTCAGTCTAAATATAAGCACCCTGAACAGAGCAGGAATAGTGACACTCCCTCATGCCAACATGATCAGTCTCCAGCTTTCTCTTTTCTTCTCATTCCTCTTCTCTCAGAATAAGCAATGTTTTGAGCTCTGCTTTACCACTTTCTCAGTCCTTCAGCTGCTACTGTGATATCGTAGGTGAGTTTAAGAGCATCAAGGGTGGGAGGGGGAAGGATTGGTAGGAGTGTGAGCGTGAGTGTGTATTTAGGAGTGTCTGTGAAGGACAGAGACTAGAGCTGGGAGAGAGGGAGTAGAGATGTGGGCATGAGACAAAGGATGAGAGAGGGATTGCAGCATGGCAGAATACAGGGCGGGGAGGGTGCGCACAGGGGGAAATGTCAGCTGGAGTAGGAGATGGCACTGGTTGGGAATGGGAACGCAGAATACGGCCAGAAAAAGCACCGGAGAATGTGGGGAAGAGACTTTTCTTGATAAATTTTTAAGTAGGCTCTACACCCAATATAGGGCTTGAACTCACAACCCTGAAGTCAGGTCACATGTTCTACCCACTGAGCCAGTCAGGTGCCCCTGATAAATGTTTGAGGGCAGTCAGAATCAGACTGTACCAAGACAGGGTTTATCAGTGGGGGCTATTCATGAAAATGGCTCGGATTTTGATCAGGATGTTGGTGAAACAGGCAAAGCTATGGGTGAAAGAGTAATTCACTAATTCCATGGTTCATTTGTTCAAATATTTCCTAAGTACCTGTGACGTGCCAGACTTTGTGCTTAGTGCTGTGAACTCCCAGTCCCAAACTGAGGAGGACTCTTGAGGAAACTTCTCTTGGTAATCTGGGTGTCAGGTGTGTATAAGCCAGGAAAGTCCTTAGTCAGTCTCCTGTCCTGTACTTTGCAGGACAGGTATAGAGACTTGGACAAGAGATTGTGCCTTGGAGCTGGGTTCTCTATGTTTTTGCCATCACAACATAAGAATATGGTGGATGATATTTATACATGATACACCACCATATGCTTACTTGGAGTTTTACAAAATCTTCAAAACACTTCTTAGGAGTGAAACAAATGGGTAGGTGGAAATTTTTCTTGAGATGTTTATTTATTAAAAACCTGAGTTACTGGGCACCTGGGTGGCTCAGTTGGTTAAGCGACTGCCTTTGGCTCAGGTCATGATCCCGGAGTCCCGGGATCGAGTCCTGCATCAGGCTCCCTGCTCGGTGAGGAGCCTGCTTCTCCCTCTGGCCCTCCCCCCTCTCATGTACTCTCTCTCTCTCAAATAAATAAATAAATCTTAAAAAAAAAAAACCTGAGTTACTATGTCAGTGAATTAAGGGTATATCGGTACCTTCGGAGTATAGATAACACTGGCTTTAGATTATGAAAACATTTTACATGCTGGTTTTAAGTGCCTGTGAGCAAGAGTGAAGTTATTAGAGATATAAATCTGCATTTGCTCCGATTTATTAAAAAGATAAACATTCACAGCTTTTTGTACCTTAGGTATTGAAAATAATTCCTTGTGACACATCTCATAACTAATCTTTCCAATATATTGTGCTGCAAAGAAAGGCTACCCTTATAACGTGGGGTGAGGGGCAGACTGTTTTATCCATTAGGGACATGGCTTCAGTGCGGAGATCCTGTACCTTTTAAAGAAACTGAGTGGTAAAAAACACTTGAGATCTGAAACCTATGTACAAAGAAAATGGTAAAATAAAATTACTACTTGTTTAAATAAATAAATATCCGTATAATACAACTAGGCCAAAAAGTAATGCACTCACCTCCTCTATAGTTATCTAACAATTGTACCTAATGTGGTTTGTGAGTGTGCATTTTAACATGTTGTTCTGATGTCAGGAGAGTCTTCCAATGTTAAGACTGCAAGAAGACATAAAAGGCTTTTTTGCCTAACCCCCTAAAGAGAAGGGGCATAACCAAAAAATAGAGTTGGTTGGGCCTTGCAGGAAGAAAAGAAGACACTGGGGGGAAAAGGAGACAGTAAAGTTTGCTCAGGGTGGCAGGAAAGAAAAGGCTCCATTTCTCCTTAGCCTGGATTGAATCTTCCCCCTGAATGCTCACTCCTGGCTCTCCTTGATTCTAGAGCTGAAGCTGACTCCCATCACTCCGCCCTGCCCCCCCGGCATTCTATAAATGATGGAGACAGTCTCTGTTTCTGCTGAGACAGATGGGTGTTTTTCAAAGCACTCAAGGGGATCCTGCCAGCTAGCTGTGACCCAAGCTAAGTCTATCAGTGGTGGACCTGCTTGGTGCACCACCCAGCCCTCGGGTCTTGGTTCTGAGACACCAGGTCCTTTGGAGAGATCTGTTCTCAGCCTGTTTTTCCCTCCTTGGGCACTTTTCTCATCCCTTTCACTCTTCTTTTTCCTGGGAAAGGAATTTCCTTTGGTCAGATTTGGATGAAGAATAGACTTTAATGTTGCTGAATATTCATTAAGGTGTTTTGTCTATTGAAAAAAACTATGGGATGATAGCCAAAGAGAGTTATAAATAATAATAACAAGACTAATAACCTAGTCTTTGGAGTACTTTATCTGAACTAACTCATTTAATCCTCCTGATTATCTCATGCAGTTCATTGTTACCCACATGTTACAAATGAAAAGATGGAGGTGTAGCAGGAGTAAAGTAACTTGCCCAAGATCATGCAGCTAGTCAGGGAAGAACTGGGAAATTAACACAGGAAGTCTGGCCCTAGAACTCGGTGTCCTCACCGACTACACCTGTTCCTTCCCACTTAGTATGGTTCCCTGCCCCTTCTCCACCATTCTGAATCTTTTTTTCTCGCTCATCTAGATATTCTCTTAGGGTTCTGGGAGGTACTTTCTGTGAGACTTTGGATGAGCCTCTTTGTGCCTGTGACTTTCCTCTCTTCTCATCCCTCTTCCTAAATGAGCCTAGAACTCTCCTGCTGAGAACCCTCAGCGCGGCTGAGATGGGGCCCTCAAGAAGCCATTGAATGAAATGAAAGTCCTTCTTCACGCACAGTAACCTCCTTTCTGGAACTTCAGTTACAATCATCCAGGTCTCGCTGCCCTTCTCCCTGCCCTGCCTTTGCTGTGTCACCGTTGAGGATTTAAAACATCATGAGAATTACAGCAGAGAGCCAGAGGTGTTTTAATGAGGACTTATATCAAGTATCTTTTATTGAGAAAGGATGCATTAATAACCAATGGGGTTGGGAGAAGTGATGAGGAAAATTTTCTGTAAATTTTCTTCTAAGGAAAAAGAATTTGTTTTTTGGTGGGGTTTTTATTTATATAAATTTGGGGCCTGTGCTTTAGAATAGAGGCAGAGTAATGCTACCAGTGGCCTTTCTCTGTGCTTATCCCGGCAAAGCTCAGCCTCTCCCCTAAATAGAAGTTGAATGAATAATTAAAATATACTGCCTTGAAAGATGTTGTATTATTAGCTCACCTGGGGACCATACTTCTCTGAATTTGGCCCTATTCCCTTTTCTGTACCCACCTGTAGTCCCATTGCTCCCTCCACACAGCCCATCATGCTCTGAGCAAGTGCATCTGCATAGGGGCAGGGGGGATAGACTCATAAATTGTGGCTTTCATTCCTTTGGGTGCCTTCCTCCCTGATCCCCTCTGATTATCAATAGATCCATCTAGTATTTATTTGGTAACTTTATACTCCTGATTTCTTATTCTCTTTATGGTCCCTTTTCTCCATGTTCCCTTCCAGAGTTTTAATCATCCTTTCTCTAGTCCTAATAGCTAACAGGTGGTCCAGAGATTCAGCAGGAAACCAATCTTACCCGAGTATTGGGCAAAGCTAAGGAGAGAGGACTTTGTTTAACCTTTCTTAGCAGAAGGGAGATCTGAATCTTTTTGAGGGTAAGAAACAAGTGGGGCAGGAGGAGGGCTATATTAATGGAGCCACAGGGTAGTGTATTGATTCCTTGTACTCAGAATAGTTTTCCTGGGGGGACTCGTAAGGATAAGGAGATCTAGACTAGACACACATTTATGGAACCGTTTGGGGAGGAGCATGAGAAGTCACAAGGAGCAGGCAGTGAATATGGTCCCTCTCAATTTCATTGGTTGCTCCATTCCTTGCTGCCTTTAGGGAAGATGTGAATTTGGGCCAGAGGGGAGAAATACGTACCTTAGGCTCCTTCTGGATATCTGCTTGGTGCTCTATTTTCATGAAGAGGAAGCCACAAGTCCCAGGATATTAGGCTAGTATCATGTGAAATGTTCAGAGTAATAGCCAGATAAATTTAATGTGATTAAACATAATCAAGTTAGAACATAGATGATCTAATAGGTCTTCAGGAAGGAGACACATTGTTATGAACATAGGCCACTACAAATTGGTATATTTTAAGGAGGTAATTTAAAGTTAAAATTTGTGTAAGTAGAAGTGGAAGGGAAGGGAAATTTAAGTAAACAGAGAAGGAGCAAAATCTTGGGGGGGGGATAAATATAAAACAGGTGAGGGTGCAAATGCCACTTGTGTGGAGATGGTGGAATGAGGTCAGGAAACTGTAGTGGGGCCAGACTTTGGGAATAGGGTGATTGGAAGCAGGGGAAGCCTTTGTTAGTTCTTGAAGCATGATTGGCATAGAAGCTCTACATGCTAATGAGGCACCATGGGTCAGAAGTCATTCTTACACCCAAATGAGCATTCTCTGGGAGAACTTGCCTGGAGAGTCCCACAGTTCAGAACCTGATGCTATCTTTTATGATCTCTGCACACACTCAGGGGTTCTTTCTGTTCCTGCCACTTTCAACAGACTCTTCAGCTACTGAGTTGTTCTAGAGAGGACCCTAAAGTGCATCATGACTCACACCAACCTTACCATCTTCCATCCTGTAGTTTTTGTTCTACTGGGCATCCCTGGGTGGGAGGCTTACCACATTTGGCTATCAATACCCCTCTGCCTCATGTATATCACTGCTGTCCTGGGGAACACCATCCTGATAGTGGTCATCATCACAGAACATAATCTTCATGAGCCCATGTACTTCTTCCTCTCTATGCTGGCCATCACAGACATCCTGCTGTCTACCACTACTGTACCCAAAGCTCTAGCCATCTTTTGGCTCCATGCCCATGACATTGCCTTTGATGCCTGTGTCACCCAAATTTTCTTTGTCCATGTGATGTTTGTTGGGGAGTCAGCCATCCTATTAGCCATGGCCTTTGACTGCTTTGTGGCCATCTGTGCCCCCTTTCATTATACAACAGTGCTAACATGGTGTGTTGTGGGAAGAATTGCTCTGGCCATTGTCACCCGAAGCTTCTGCATCATCTTCCCAGTGATCTTCTTATTGAAGCAGCTGCCCTTCTGCCGGACCAACATCGTCCCCCATTCCTACTGTGAGCATATTGGAGTGGCCTGTTTGTCTTGTGCTGACATCACCATTAACATCTGGTATGGTTTCTCAGTGCCCATTGTCATGGTCATCTTGGATGTGATCCTCATTGCTGTGTCTTACTCACTGATCCTCCGAGCAGTGTTTCGTTTGCCCTCCCAAGATGCCCGGTGCAAGGCTCTCAGCGCTTGCGGCTCCCACCTCTGTGTCATCCTCATGTTTTATGTTCCAGCCTTCTTTACATTATTGACCCACCGCTTTGGACATAACATTCCTCGACATGTCCATATCCTGCTGGCCAATCTTTATGTGGTGGTGCCACCAATACTCAACCCCATCGTCTATGGTGTGAAGACTAAGCAGATCCGGGAGGGTGTAGCCCACGGGTTCTTTGATGTCAAGACTTGGTGCTGTGCTTCCCCTCTGGGTTAATGGCTCCCCATGAATTTGCACTCCAAGCTTTATCAAGGAAACTAGGCGTGAAATACAGAGATTTTCTGGACTGAGAGGGCTTTTACTTCTCTTCCTCTTTCTCTTCCTTCTTCATTGTCGTCATCCCCTCCAACTTTTCTTTTTTCCTCTTCCAGCTTTTCATCTTTGCCCCCTTCTCCTGTTTCTTTGTTTGCTTTATCTTCTTCTCTTCTCATATCCTTTCCCCAAAACTGAGAGATAATAACTGTTACATGCCTCTGATGTGAACATTCGGTATCTTCAGTAGACCAGATGTACTCCAGAAACACAGAGAACTGAACACAACATGAAGTGGGTTATAAGCACATGGATGAAAATAATTTTATATTTAACATCTGAAGGGGTTCCAGTTTTGTTGTTGTTTTTTTTTAATCTCTAAATGTGCTTTGATTCTTTGTACAGACTCAAGTAGCTCTCTCCTCACTTTTACAATGGCAGATGTTTTTGAAAAAGTCATGCATACCCTTCAGCCATCTGGAAAACTGCTCATTCTTCAAATTTCAGATAAAGAACTACCTTCCTTGAAAACTCTTTCCTGACTTTTCCAAGCAATACAAGGCTCCTATATTTGTATATTGATTGCATCTTGTATAAATTTCAAAATGTATGTAGTGAATTGTAATGGGTTGTTTATTTATTTGACCCCTAATTGACTGTAAACTCCTTGAAATCAGAAGAGTGTGTGTCATTCATATTTGTACTCCAGTGCATTATAAAATGCCTGGCACATAATAAGTGTTCGAAAACTGAATGAGAGCACAATCACCTCCTGGTGTTAGAACACGCATTTCTATTATGCACTCAAATGGTCAGCTAAATTAATCCACAAACCAGTGATGAGTAAACCAGCTCCTCACAAAGGCAGTTTGGCGTCAGGGAGGTAAATAAGCTGTAGATTGCAGAGCTTCTTACTTCTTACACCTTTGCTGTAACACAGGGACCAAGGAATAGACTAGAGTAGGAAGAAACAGGGCACTCTTGATTTTCTCTTCTAACCTGGCCTCTGACCCTTCTCAGTGTTAGGAATTATAGCACATTGTTCCTGGCCAGGTTATCAACTTTGGAGTAGTTTCTTAGAGTTTAAAGTCTTGCCCCTCATTTTTTTCATACTTTTTCAAAAGAGATCATATACACTCATTTCTTCAACCACCATTGACACAAATGAGTCCAACATCCCTCTCTCCATCCTAGAACTCTGTTTTTGAGTTTTAGATGCATAAATATACTTATCAACTGGATTTCTTCTCCAAGGGAGAGAGTTCCCATTCAGGCTAGCTTTTTTTCCTGTTCCATTCCTTTTCTTAGGAACTAGATTATGATGATTCCATCAACTCCACTGAGCTGGAAACCCTGGGGAGTTTCTCAACTTCTTCCTCTCTGTCCTGTTCCTCAAGAAGTTAATGATTGTTACCAATATTGATTGTACCACTAAATAATTATGTGGATAATATTTGCAGTCCTGTCAGGATTAAGGCCCTATCCCTATTACTTTCTAGCTGTGTGAATCTGTGAAACATATTTAATATTTTTAGTCCTCATTTTTTTTCATCTGTAAAATGGGGATAGCAATAATACCTCATAGGGTTGTTGAGAAGATTACATGAAATAAACCATATATATACTATTTGAGAAGATGAAATGAAATAAGCCATATGTATAGTACCTAATACAATCCTTGGCTCATAGTATCTGGGAAATATTTCATTAATGCTAAGTTCTTGGTATTGTTAATTTTCTTTTTAATGTTGCTCTACTAATTACTTATGTCTGTTATCATCTTTCACCTCAGATAATGCATTAGCTTCTTGATTGATTTCATTGCTTTCAGTCTTTTACACTGTAACCTAAACTATAAATTGACTCAAAGTTAAACATTCTAAAAGGCAGAGTTTCTGTCAAATACTTTCAAGTAATCTTCATTACTTATAGAAGTGTTTTCCATAGAATATTCTGCGGAAATAGCAGATATCATAATAAATGTTTTATAAAAAAGTTCCATGGTCAAATAAGTGAAAAATGCTAACACTCTGTGGGTTGTGTACATGGCTGTCCAAGGGAAGGCTAGAGTTTGCAGCATATCCCACAGTAATGTGACCATAGATATTTGTATCATTTTTTTGATAGCACATCAATGTACATTTCTAAAATAACTAGTGTTCCATTAGCCACTGTTCAGAAATCATAGGACTACAGGGTAATTTCTAAGCCAAGCATTAACTTAATAATGTAGTCCTAACTTACTTTTCCATTTCTATCTCAAAACACACCACCATATAGCAATCTATTAATATATAGTAGTATTAATAATTATAACTTAAACAATAGCTAATGTTTATTAAGGGATTAATCTATGCTGGCAACCATGTTAAGTGCTCTGCTGCATTAACTTATTTAATCCTTACACAGCCTTATGAGATAGTACCTTTGCTATCTGTTTTATACACAGGAACACCCAAGTTTCAGAGAGGGTGAATAATGAAGGCCACTCAGCTGGCAAATGGTAGAGTATTGACGTCAATTCCTTTTTGAAGTCTTCCCAATCCCCCAAGTCAGAGGTGATTACTTTGTCCTCTGGCTCTCCACAGCAATGACATTTATCTTTCAACTGAATGTTAATTACTCCATGAAACCATCAGAGCTTGGGTTCTGTGAGAGCAGAGAATATATCTTACTCATCGTTATAGTTCCAACATCTAGCATAGGATTCACTATGTATATTTATGGATTGATTAATTTGAAATGTTGGTGAAGTGGTTGACTCTGGACCCTTCACTGGTAAATATTATCCAATTTTATGACTGAAAATCATTTGGACACACACATACACACCACTTAGTTCCTTCTGATCTATTTCTTCTACATCTCCACAGGTTTCTATGTACATTGAGGTCTAGCAGGTATAGGCAGGGTTTCAGTGTTCTATGTATTGACTAGCAGCAACTCAAATCTGCTCTGTCCATATCTTAGCCAGAGACATGAAGTCTTTAACAGATACAGTATGTTCAGACTTTTGTAGGTAGGGCATACTTAGATTGCCCACCCTCTCTGGTTCCTGAGTGAGTGATCTCTGGAGATTGGTCCTGCTGGGGTCTGCCTCTTTCTAATTAAACCAGATGCTCCCTAAAGACCTAGTGGAGTAGAAGCTCTCTCCTTGCCCAAGGGATTCCTGTGCACGAGGTTCAAATACTGCCCTATTTCCCTTCTGAGTCTGCATCTGTCAGCTTCTTTCACATGTTGAGGAAGAACTTTCTCTTGAACTGGGGTAAGTTTCTGGGAAGGGGATAAATATTTTGTTCCTAGGAATTTTAGGTTTTCTTGGAATAAACTTAATAAACTATTGATTCAGATGAGATCCTCTGGATAGTGTAGTATAAGTACATACTATCCAGTGTGTACATCTTGACATCTTGAGCTGCTGCAGACATTTTTTATTATGCAGGGCTGGGAGTATGACTAATATTTTTCCAGAATTAAAGTGGTTTAAAAAATATTGAACACAGGGGGCGCCTGGATGGTGCAGTCGGTCTAAGCGTCTGACTCTAGGTTTTGGCCCATGTCTTACGATCAAGCCCCATGTTGGGCTCCGCACTCAGCAGAGTTTGCTTGAACATTCTCTTCCGCTGCCCTTCCCTGCACTCATGAGCACGCACACACACTCTCTCTCTCAAATAAATAAATAAATCTTTTAAAAAAAGTAAAAAAAAAGAACACTGAAAAGTAAGTATATTAAAACCCACAACATTAAGTTTACATATACTGTTTATGTAAAATTAGAATTTATTATAATTCTACTGGCTTTAATGGGAGAAACTCACAAATAATGCTTTCAAAATAGAATTAGGGAAAAAGTTAGCCATTAAAAGCACATAAAAACATATATATAGGTGCTCCCATTTTCCCTTTTGCCTTGGGCTCCAATATGGCTCAGTACAGCATGGTCAATCCTATCTTTATTTAAAATTTTGATATCTTGTTCATCATGGATATTTTGACATTTTGTACTGAGGTAAGTTCTTACTCATTTCACCTTAGTCCTGGTCTTAGGAGACTCAACACCTGGAGGGCAGACCAGAGTCACAAAGAAATGCGGCCCCTGCTTGAATCTTTCCATAATCCTGATAGTTGACACATAGCTTTCAGTTTCAGGAGCAAAGACATTTCCCTATGTGTTCAAGCCAAAGTGAGGTGGGATTTTCTGTTACTTATAATGTAAAGTGTTGTAACTGATACAAAAGAGAAGAAAAGAATTATTTTATTTTTTAATTTGCTTTTACACTTAACTATATGCCATGACTGATACTTTTTTTCTTAAAAATGGAAACAAAACATTCTATTGTACTGTGTATGCCATAATTTATTTTTTTGCCCTATTGATGGATATGGAAGTTGCCATAATTTCTTTTATTATAGCAATAGTATAGCAATGAATATCCTTACAGAAATATGTATATGTTCTTATGCTGTGTCACCAGCACTGGATGCTAATTTTTTTCTTATGTTTTCCAATTTGTTAGGAAAACTATGATATTTCAATATGACAGATTTTCATTTCTTTAAGTTTTGAGCACCTATGCATGTGTATATTGGCTATTTATTCTTCTTGTGGTATGAATTGCCTATTTTGATTCTTTGCATATTTTTTGTTTTTTCCTCATTCATTTCTACTAACTTTTAAAAATTTTATTATGTTATGTTAATCACCATACATTACATCATTAGTTTTTGATGTAGTGTTCCATGATTCATTGTTTGCGTATAACACCCAGTGCTCCATTCAATATGTGCCCTCTTTTCTACTAACTTTTAATATTTAAGGATATTAGCCTTTTGTCTGTTATATGTTTTATAATTTTTTCTCCTAGAATTTTTATTTATTTTCCTAGAATTTATTCTTGTCTACATTTTTGCATAATTACATCATTCAATTATTACTGTCCATCAAATACCATTTTCTTAACTTACTCAGAAAGATCTTTCCAAACTTAAAAATATTTTCCTGTTTTCTCCTAAGATCTTCACTTTAATGTTTAATATTTTTAGTTTTATTTTTAAAATATACATCTTTAATTTATCTACAATTTCTATTTAGTGAATGAGGTGGGAACTAATTTTATTCTTTTGCAAAAATATCATTGTCTGATATCCCAATGCCATTAATTGACTAGGCCTTCCTTTCCCTACTAATTTGAAATGATATTTTATTACATTTAAAGTTTCAAATATATTAGTTTCTGGGCTCTCCATGTAGTTGTACTGATCTGTGAGTAATAATAACTGGCATTTGTTTAGTATTTTTATGCTAGGCATTATATTAGGCAGTTTAAAGAAAGCATTCGATTTAATCCTTGCAAGATAAATATGAATAGCTCATTTTCACGTTAGGCTAAATTTCTGAAATGTGAAAAACTTACCTTTTGAAAATAATCAGAAAGTTGGAGGCCCAGAATTTGAACCTGGAGAACACTTCTCAGATAATAAATATTTAAGCGGTGACTTGGAAGCTCAGTAGGCTTAACAAACATCAAAGGTAGAAAAGTATGTTCCAGATTAAGAGAAAAGCTTGAGAAAAGTCATGAGGGTTGGAAAACTCAGGTTTTGTGTGGTGAATAAATTGTGGTCTATTTAATGTCCATGTAATTTAATGTCAGAGTGCCTAAAGGGGACTAAAGCTAGAGAAGAGAGTAACAGTGGGATTGTGGGAAGCTTTGCATGCTTGAGAAGTTTGAGCTTTATCTTGTAATGAAAAATCATTATATAAAGCTTGTAGGTGAAAATCCAATAAAGATTTTTGTTTGTTTTGTGCATACCAGCCAGGCTACAAATAGCTGATGGATATGGAGGGGTTGAGGATGGGAAGCTGGGAGATAGGGAGCCCAGTTAGTTAAGATGCCATTGCACCAAAACAAGTGAAGGATGCTTAAAGCCAGAGTAGGAACATGTGAGAATGGGGAGGTATATATGGCTTCTAGACATTGCTGAGGTGTGACCAGGAACCTTTATTTATATTTGTGTTTGTAATGATAACGTAGGAAATAAAGGCATAATATTATATACTCTAAGTCAAGGCATTAGTGATTGATTTAATTATCTAATGTTCAACTGTTAGTGAAACTTATTGTTGGTTCTGCCCACTGACTCTCTCTTTCTGTAGTCTTCATAGAGAGACTCCCAAATCAGGCATGTTCGGTGCAAACTTCTCCTCCACTTTCCACCCCACTGTGTTCATCCTACTTGGCATCCCAGGATTGGAGAACTATCACACCTGGCTTTCTCTCCCCTTCTGCCTCATGTACATCACTGCAGTGTTGGGAAATGGAATGCTCATCCTTGTCTTCAGTGCACACACCCTCCCTGAACCCATGTATGTCTTCCTATCCATGTTGGCTGGCACTGACATCCTGCTGTCCACCACCACTCTTCCCAAGGCCCTGGCTGTTTTTTGGTTTCATGCTGGGGAGATTGCCTTTGATGCCTGCATCACTCAGATGTTTTTCATCCATGTTACCTTTGTGGCTGAGTCGGGTATCCTGTTGGCCATGGCATTTGACCGCTATGTGGCCATTTGTACTCCCTTGAGATACACAGCCATCTAAACTCCTATGGCAATTGGAAAAATGACTCTGGCAATCTGGGGATGAAGCATTGGGACTATTTTCCCTATCATATTCCTGCTGAAGAGGTTGCCATACTGTCGAACTAATATCATCCCCCACTCATATTGTGAGCACATTGGGGTGGCCAGATTGGCCTGTGCTGACATCCCTGTCAATATCTGGTATGGCTTCTCAGTGCCAATGGCATCAGTTTTGGTAGACATTGCACTCATTGGTATTTCCTACACTTTGATTCTCCAAGCTGTGTTTAGACTTCCTTCCCAGGATGCCTGGCACAAGGCTCTCAGTACGTGTTGTTCCCACAATGGAGTCATTCTCCTCTTTCTCATTCCATCCTTTTTTAATTTCTTGACCCACTGATTTGGCAAGAATATCCCCCACCATGTCCACATCCTTCTGGAAAATCTCTATGTGTTAATTCCCCCCATGCTTAATCCCATCATCTATAGAGCAAAAACCAAGCAAATCAGGGGTAGTATGGCTCACATGTTATCTGTTTTGGGAAAGTCTTGAGAAAGTTTGTGTTTCTTTCACAGTTTTCTCTTATCAGCAGGAGAAAAAAGAACTTAACAACCAAGTTCTCAAGTTTAGGCACTTTAGTGTACTGAAGCAGAAAATACATAGGCTTTGGAATAAAATGTATCTAGATTCAAATCCTAGCTCATTTACTTCCTGATTTTTGACCATGATTAGGTTCCTACCTTTTGGAAATTTAGTCCTAACATATAAAATGTAACCAATTGTACCTATGCTGTAAGAGTTTTGTAAGTATTAAAATTTATAAACTACTTGGTACATTGCTCAGCACTTAGTGGGCTCTCAATGTTAGCTATAAATCTAACTTGAAGTTTGTTACCTGAAGAAGACGGTTTAGATTTGATGTATGTGAGATTTCCAATATTTCCAGAGGCTGCTCTGCCTTCTGCTTACCTTCCAAGACTGTATTATAGCCATCATCATCTCCAAATTATTGCCATCATAACCACGAGTTTGCTGTATGAATCAATTTAGGTAATAGATATACAAGAATGCTTTAAAAAATTAAACTGTTGAAAAAGACTAAGGTTGGTATTGATTACATTTTATATGTAAAGAACTATCACCATTATTATATTAAAGAAATTTCTTAACTCATGCAGGAAATGAGTTGAGTGACATAGACACAGGCATTGCCCTTAAAGTGTTAGTTGTCTGAGTTGGACACATGAACGAAGAGCGAGTTATGGGGGTCCACATTGATAATAGAAGAATGTGATACAGCAGACAAATATTCAGATGTTAAAAAGAGGAAGTAAGCTAATACTCTATGATTCTATGTCTTCTTCTATATCCCTACATTCCCCCTGAATTAGAGACAGTTATATGGCTTTAAATTCTATTCCATTCCATTTGGAATGATTTCCAAGTTGATATCTCCAGCCTTGACTTTTTCTTTGAAATCCACATTCATATATTCAACTGTTTCTTGACATCTCCAGTTATATGTCTTGTAGACATCTCAAAATAAACATGTCTGTATTAGGATAGTTTAAGCTATGCTTTATTTCAGTTAATTAACAAGACAAAGTTTATTCCTCTCTTATTTAAAGTATAGTGTGTATCAACAGAATCTGTTCTCCATCAGGTAGCCAGGAATCCTGGATCCCTCTGTCTTGTGAAGTGTTGTCATATCACCGTACATTTTTCTAAGTTGCAAAAGCAGGGAAAGAGAGGGAAAGGTGAGACACTCCAATTATTACTTGCCTTGGTCTTGAAGTGATTTGTCATTTTTGCTCACATTTTCCTTGGTGAGTATGTTGTTTTAACAAGGCCACAGCTCAACTGCAAGGGAAGGTGAGAAATGTAGGGGAGCTCACGGGTTTGCAGTGAATGCTCATTGTCTGTACACTTGATCCATCCATGCCTTGGATCACTTAATATTTCTGTGTTCTTTTCTTCCCATGTTAGAACACATTCAAATCACCTCCACTGGAGAACCCCAAAGTCCTATCTAGGCACTTCACCGAGCTCCAAGTGTAGGATCTTCTGGTGATACACAAGAATTTCATCAGATTTGTTTGGGGCTCTTCTTGGCCTAGAGGTCTATGATTTCAAAGGAAATTTACCTGCTTACTCCTCACCCCCTTATTAAATATATGATAGTGTAACAGGGACAGTTAAGAATAATAACTTATCCCATTTGGAAAGATGATGAATATGAGGCACACAATGGTCAGTAATTCATAGCAATTTTGAAGTCACCTTTGGGCAGACACTTGGAAGGCTCTATGCCCTGGGTTTGGGAGAAGTTTCTCTTTTTTGGGGGGGATTGGTGGGTGGGAGAAGTTTTTTGATAGACTCTCTCTAACAGAAACTCTTGTGTCCATTCCTCACTGTGATCCATGGAAGCATGTCTCTGGAAGCTTCTTTCTTTTCTATTATCTTCTTAGGTCATATCTAAAATGGAAATTGGGAAATATGTCCTTCTTGGGGACAACAGAGTTTTCTAAGTCCATTTTCTGGTGCTGAAAAGTTGGGTCCCAAGAGTTAGGTTAACTCCTAAATAGTCAAGGGATTTCTCAGCTGAGCTCTTGGTTTTTTGGCAATATATGTTGATTAAAAACCTAGTATGTTTCTTATCTATTTGGTTTCACTTATGTGCCACTAAACACACCCCAAATCTTATAAACACATAATTCTCCAATTTTCTCTATTTTTCCCTTTATCACTTCCATGTATGTCTCTAAACAAAATGGAGGCTAATTTGGGATTCTGATGACTTTGTTGGAAGGTGCCACCTTTAATTTAACCTTTGCTTAGCTGCTTTATTCATCTGAGATGTTTATTGGAGAGCACACTCATAACATGATCTTTATTTTTAGGCAATTTAATTTACTGAGAAATTTTGCTTGAAGCTTTAAAAAGCCATTTCTTACTGTTTAGAAGCAGTTATATTAGGATATGAAAATGGCAAAGAGGGATTAAGGTTGCCAATCAGCACTTTCTGAATTATGTGTGTGGGGCAATGTCATCACAAGGGCCCTCATAAATGAAAAAGGCAGGCAGAAGGGTACAGCATCACTGAAACAAGTCAGAGAAAGACAAATACTGTATGACATCATTTATATGTGGAATCTAAAAAAGCCAAACTCATATAAACAGTACAATAGTGGTTACCAGGCATGGGGGTTGGTTAGTGGGGAGATGTTGGTCAAAGGGTACAAACTTCTAGTTATAAGAAAGTAAGTTCTGGGGATCTAATGCACAACATGGCAATTACAGTTCATAATACTGTATTATATACTTGAAAGTTGCTAATAGAGTAGATCTTTAATGTTCTCACCACTAAAAAGAAATGATAATTATGTGATGTGATGGAGGTGTTAGTTAACACTATGGTGGCAGTCATTCTGTAATATATAAGTATATCAAATCAACACATTGTACACCTCAAACTTCCACGGTCTTATATGTCAATTATATCTGAATAAAGCTGGGGAAAATAATGCTTGGAGGAGAGCCATTAGTAGTCTTATTCAACCTGCAATATCATCATTTTTTCTTTTCTGTATGAATAGCAAATAATGTTTTATTGTGTTAAATATGTGAAAATTTGAAGTATTATTAATACAGTCACTGAATTAGTCTGATTCTTGGAATTTTTGAATGTCAAGAAGCATATCTAACTAACAATTTTATGAAGATTAAATGAGATTGTGTTTGTGGCAATTTTTAAGCTGCCAAATACTCTGTATAGGGCATCACTATTATTCTTATGCTCCTGCCAGGTGGAGACAGGAAAGATTGGGTTAATCTCAAGGCTTCTTCCATGACTGCCTCTCTCCTCTTCCTATACTCTGGAGTCTGAAATTGCTGATCTTCGGCTGAAGCATCACCCTGACCTGCTGAAAAAGGATGCAGCTTCTCTTCTTACAGCTGCCTCTCATGTTTACCCATCTCAGTTTAAGGGCTGATTACTTGTGGCTCTGCTGTGGGTTTTCAGCCTCCATGTCCTGCTCTGCATTGAACCACTCTGGCTGATCACCTCATGGTTCCCACCACTGCTCCACATCCGTCCAGAATCTGTCCTCTAAGGAGCTGATGCCCAAGTGTGAATTCATCCATAAACTTCCTGAAGGCTCCCCTCAGTGAATGGTCCAGAACAATTTTTTTTTTTTGATACACTGGAAAAGATTACATTTACTACTGTCCTATGACACACAGATTTTGTTAGGTAGCTGTGGAGTGCAGAATCCTGTGCTGGATATACTGTTTTGTTTACAGTTTCATTAGAGAGGTAAAAACAGAAAACAATCATCTAATCTCTACCCAAAGAGTATGTGGAATCATTTGTCCACGTTTTGTGTTTTATTGCAAAATAACTTTGAATACCTCTATGTGGATTGTACATTCAAGGCACATTGTCTTCTATTATCTTTTAATTTTATCAATATCCTAGTTACATAGGGAAACAGGGACCATTCCCAGTGTACAAATGAGAAAAAAATAAGGAAGTTACATAAGTCACAAAGGATACTGTTCTGTCTTTTGGGTTGCAGTTGACCAAAATAGAACACAGGTTGTAAGCAAAATTGGAACCTATGAGCTTGAAGGAAAGATTTAAAAACTAGACTGTAGGAAGGTCAAAGATGTTAAACCATAGGAAGGACTGGAACTAGCCCTGTTCAACTATCATCTCTATTTTCTCAGTGTAGTAGTTATGTATCATACTATAGGTTGGTTTCTCTATAGCCTGGAAGTACAGTTTCTCTGTGTTACATTTAAAAATTTTGTCCACTGGAGAGTGGCTGCCTAAAAATTTTGGAGAATGATCTCTTTGGCACAGTTGAAGTCAGAGGCCTACTCCTAGTCCAAAATGTTGTGAGGAAGGAGTGGTGCCTCCTTGTCAACCATATGAGTAGAGAGGACATTTTTCAGAAAAGCCGTTACTGAAAGCTAACTGTCAACTACAGTTATGTGGCAGATCAGAGGCAGAAAGGCAAAGGATCTATATCTTTTGATTTTTAGAGACTTCAGTATATAAGTGTTTTTATGTGTTTACTGTCTGTATTCCCTTTCAGACTGTAAACAGTATGGGGGTGAGGTCATGTCTTCCTTGTTTATTACTTCACCTCCAGTATCTCACACTCGATCAAAAAGGCTCTGTCTTCTTCTTTTTTTTTAAGTGAACATTATACCCAACATGGGGCTCAAACTCACAACCTCGAGATCAAGAGTCACATGCTCTACCAACAGAGCCAGCCAGGCACCCCAAAAGCTCTATCATTCTTTCACCAAAGCATATAAAATAGTAAATAGGGGAGAAAGAGAGAGAGAGAGAAGAGAGGAGAGAGAGATACTTATTGAAGGTAGTTTATAGCTTTCTTTTGAAATTAGAATTTCGCCTTGTAATTATAAAGTCTTTTTTAAAAAGATGTGTTTATTTACTCGAGAGAGAGAGAGAGTGAGTGCGTATGAGTGGGGGGGAAGGGCAGAGGGAGAGAATATCTAAGCAGACTCCGCTGAGCCCAGAG